GTCGACCTTGTCGTCGTACGACGCGCCTTGCTCGTTGCCCTTGGTCGTTGCAAGTGTCTCGGGAGCACTCCACCGCGCCTCGGTCACGCCGTTCGTCAGCTTTCCGTTTGGTTCGGTGTCGCGCATTTTGAGACCGGGAAAGACCTTGACGCGACCGGTCGCCTCCACGTAGACGCACAGCCATGAGAGGTCGCGGTGCATCACGGCGAGGTTGTGCATGTGCGCAATCGCTGTGGCAATTTGAACTGCAATGTGCAGCTTCTCGGGCCATGACGCATCGCGCTTCGTGGTCAAGTAGTGCTGGAGCGTCATGCCTGTCACGTGCTCGACGTACGCGATGGGGTCGTTGGTCGATCGTTGGCTGGCACCGACAATGCGCAGGAGCGAGCCGTCGCCGCCTTGGAGTCTACAACAATGGGCCTGAGTACATACGGGACCTCGACTGCATGGGAGACGTACGCTTGCATGATGGCCATGGTTTGCTTGAAGCGCAAGACGACCTTTTCGTCGTCTTGAAAGGCCCGCTGGAGCTGGATGCGCAGCACAAGTGTGCCGTTCTGGAGCCGGCCCGGCGTGAGCTCTGCGAACGGATGCAGCCACTCGCCGGCCTTCCCAAGGCTTGTAAACGAGCCCGGCTCGATTTTCGGTACCGACCCGAGGCGCTGGTGCATCAGAAGCATCGCGCGCGCGTCTCGGAGGTTGGCATGGTCTGCTGTGATGACGTCGCGGAGCCGCTGGAGCTCTCCCTCGTGGTCGCGAATCAAGCGAGCTTTGTCGTCGCGAAGCTGCTGGAGCTCTCCCTCGTGGTCGCGAATCAAGCGAGCTTTGTCGTCGCGAAGCTGCTGGAGCTCTCCCTCGTGGTCGCAAATCAAGCGAGCTTTGTCCTTGCGTTCGTGCTGGAGCTCGGCCTCGAGCTCCGCAATGCGCTTCGTGTGTTCCTCGCAAGGATCCGTTTCCGGCGTGTCAACGATGAGTACGCTCAAGTTCCCGCCCATCTTGCAAAAGTGGAAATGCGTTGGTGCGATTTGCTCGCTCAACTAAGATCTTAGGTTATGCTTGATGTGATAGGTGGTTTTCCATTTTATAAAATGATGAAAAGAACGTTCGAAACCCAGTCTCGAGGAATTCCCTCTGCAAATTGATGCTGACGTACTCAATTTTTGCACATCAACTTGATACAAAACGCCGCTGCACATCATTGCCGACCCACTGACCTCGGAGCTGTTGCGGTGCTAGTATCAAGCGAGAGTTTTCTCTCGATATTGTGTTGTTGATGGTTGGGTAGAAAGATGAGCTGTTTGCTTTTTATCAAGACTGCTTCTCCACTGCAAGGGTCGTCCACTGTCGGCAGACCCGCAATGCAGCGCCGCTTTGTGCGCGATTGTCAAGCCAACTTATATCAGTTCAGCACTTTCTCAGCGTTGTACTGGTCGCGACGGAGCCACATTTCCCATGTGCGTATGCAGCGACTAGAGAATACTAGTGCATTGGTTTGCATTCGGTTTCCTGGCCGGCTAGACCAGCTGCAGGCTCCGCAATAAGCACTTGTTACTGTAGCAGTCTCGCCTCAACAACGCAGTTCCAAAAGCTGGGATCCTCACCCGTCGAACTGATAGGAGCGTGCGTTTACACTAGGACGATCCTGGCGTTGTGGGAGGAAGTGTCCAAGTTGATTGTAGAGCGCTGCCGCGCGACCGTGTACAGTGTACCGGTACAATCAATGTATGATCGTTTGTATATACATTTGGGACTGCACAGGTTCAAAGCCAGCCAACAATCCCATTCAAAACCGATCACTTTTTGGACAGCGAAATTTTTCACTTTCCCACCACTGCCCACAAAGATACCGGAAATGTGGTCAACAAACGTTGCGCGTGCACACATCACTTTGCCTTTTGCCAGCATGGGAGCCGAACATAGCACCGCCTTCGGGGAATACCCCGTGGAGCCAGCGGTCGCGCCCGAGCCCGAGCCCAAGCCGATCCTCAACCCGTACGAAGAGCACATCCAGCAGCTCGAGCGTGAGCTGGAGAAGTACAAGGCCAAGGAGAAGCAGGCCACGGCGAAGCTCGCGAAGGAGACGCTCAAGTGGACCAAAGAGATTGAGGCGCTCAAGCGCCAGCACCAGGCTGAGCTCGAGCTCTACGCCTCAGAGGCCAAGGACGCCCGGCGCTTGAGTGACGCGGCGGCGACCGTCGACACCAGCGCCCAACGCCTTGCCGACGAGCGCGCGATGCACCTCATGAAGCAGCGACTCAACTCGGTCATGGAAGTCGACGACGCCACCTTCGAGCACATCTCGGGTCCTCTTGGCTTCGACCAGCGCGACTTCCCATTCGCGTTGCTCAAGCCTGGCCGGCTCCCAGACGGCACGCTCGTGCTGCGCATCCAACTCGAGGAGAGCTTCAAAGGCAACCAAGAAGTTGTCCTGCGCTTCAAGAAGACCCTAGCCATCATGCAAGCGTACGTTCTCCTACCTCCGCACTTGCATGCGTTTGGCTCATTGTCTTGTAGGCTCAATGGCGGCGACGGGACGCTCCTCCGGCTCATCGGCGCCAGCAACCTCGACTCGGACGACCCGATCGCGTACGTCGAGTACGTCACGGGCATGACCCTCAGCGCGTACCTCATGGGCAAGCAAGACGCGACGTGGCCCGAGAAGCTCTGGATCGCGTCTCAAATCGGCAAGGCCATCGTCCATATTCACAACCTCGCCGTCATGCACCGCGACGTCTCGTGGTCCCGCGTTTTCGTCGATGCGACGGCCAACGTCAAGGTCTTCACTGGGCTCAAGATGCGCCAGGTCGAGCCCACGGAAAACAACCATTTCACCTCTGGTATCTCGGAAGCTCGGTGGGGCGCACCCGAGACACTGCCGGAGCCTCAAGGCGGTGAGAACGGCGAGCCGGACAGCAACGACACGACGTACACGGACAAGATCGACATCTTCGGCCTCGGTCTCATCCTCATCTCGCTCGTGACGCACGACGTCCCGTTCAGCTACGTGCTGAAGACCTCTGGGCGGCGGACTCCCATCGATGACAACCTCGTCACTGCCTGGCTGAAGAAGCGCGAGACGGCAATCCCGATGCTAACGCAGTCGTTCGACGATGACTACGCATGTCCGTCCGAGGAGTACAAGGCGCTCG